GCTACTTTGTTCTAAATATAGCTCAATGCACGTGCAAATCCTAATATTCCTTATTTTTCAAACATAAGAGCCAACAGTTCTTGGAATTGAACATTTTATAATAACTCTATGAAACAGAACTTGCAAATCTTATTATTCTCTATTCGCCTTGGTGGTATCGAAACTTGGAAGGAACGGAACGACTGATGCTTCCTAGGTGCAGCATCATCCACGAAACACCTCCTAGGACCATCAAGCGACAAGCGGACCTGTGGATCAAAGTAGGCGTGACCTTGGTTGTTTGGCTATTGGCTAGCGAAGTTCTGTAACTTTGTTTTATTGGGCGGCCTATGTGTTATTGTCATTTTTCTTTCGCCGCCTAAGCAGGGGGCCTTTCGCAGCTCGTTGTAATCACAACCTTCTATATCTTAATTACAAAAATGTGCAAGTGTTTTGCATATTTGTGAAAAAATTCTCGATCACGCAAAAAGGTTTACGTGTCTTTGTATTAAGGTAGAGAAAAATTTAATACAACGCGTCTTAGCGATGTCTTAGCCTCCTAGGGGATAGAAGGATTGTACATAGACGCTCACGCACACTAGTGTAAAAAATAACTCTATGAAAACACTGAGTACCCATGCATGCCAAATAAAAACTTGAACCCGTATAGAACCTAAAACAAGCTAAGTCACGCTAGGTTGGCCATATCCTAATATTCTCACAATTTTTAAGTTGTCACTGGACTATCCCATAAAAGGAAGATAAATCTGAAATGTTGAATTAACCTCATACCTATATATTATCGAGCATAAGAGCAAGGCTAATAATACAGCCAGCTCTGCCCATTCGGCTGGTAGAATTTTGGCTGAAATTGGCTGAAAAACACTGTTCTGGCTGAATTGTTGTGAGAAAAATATTGTTCCAGCTGAAAAAAGAAGCCGAACAAACCAAACATGGAGTAAGCCGAACGAAGTTATGTAAACTTACAACCAATCTATCATCCACTCGTATAATAGTTTTGTCTGTCTCATATTTTTTTAGTTTTTTTTGCATAAGTTGTTTGTAAGCTTATAGTTCGTTTCTTTTATCTCTCTTCCCCTCTCTTCTCCACCTCATGATACAGTCCGCTTAGGGCACTTTGTTATACTTGCTCTAACGACTAGCACATGTAACAAAATGGGTTTCCGGACTGTCCAGGGTTTATCATAATCCATTACAATCGACCAACGCAATTTATAATTCCACTTAGATTACGATTTTTATATCCGATCGTCATCGTAACGGCACCGTGCCTGATTCCCTTCCATTCCGTGTTCAAAATCAAACCATCATAGCTCCTCAATCCTCATCAATCAATTCTACTGGGCTGGCTGTGGCTAGTTGGCGCCGGTGGGCGCACTGTATATAACAAAAAGTCACAGCAATGTCAGGCTATACGGCCCCAGCTGTTATCATTGACGATTCTACTGGGCTGGCTGTGGCTAATTGGCGCCTGGGCCAGGCGTGTCCTACTCCTGTAGAGGAGTTGCGCTCACTGTGCGTAGGCAGGCGCCCCTCCCGCCACCCTGACACGGTCACACGGCGAGAGGCCGCGAGAGGGACGCCAAGGACGTCGGTCACGTGAGAAGGGACGACGACCCGTCGTCGGAGCCGACGGGCCGATAGATGAGGTGACCCCGCGACTCGGCGTGCACTGTGCGCACGCAGATGCAGTGCGCTCGCTCACTCTCGTATGCTACAGTCTAGCCTCTGTTTAGTTTAAAAAATTCACCCCAAAATATCATATCGAATATTACGGCACATGCATGAAGTACTAAATGTAAACGAAAAATAAAACTAATTGCACCGTTGAGTGAGAAATCACGAGACAAAACTTTCGAACATAATTAGTCTATAATTAAACATTAATTAACAAATATAAACGAAAATACTACCATATCTAAAATCAAAAAGTTTGGCCAACTAAACGCGCCCCTAGTTCCACTTCCGCCAGCCACGTCCAATCCCCGCCTACGTACGGCGCGCGCGCGCGTGTCAGATCGGCCGGCCGGAGCGACGAAACCGAGGCGGGGAAGTAACACCGCGCTGCCTCGCCCGTGGCGACCGCCCGGTCGGGTCGGTGGGTGACGGTGGTGGCGGGGTACCGGTAAACATTGCTGCTGGGCCGCGCCGCGCTGTCCGAGCCGGTCGCTAGAGGGAATCGAAGGCTGCCCCGCGTTGCGTGAGCGCAGGCGGTAGTAGCAGCTCTCTCTGCTGGTGGCTTTCAGGCATTTCGCGCGGCACCACCGCGGGCTCGACACGTCCTGATTCGGGCCCTGTGCGCGGCAGCGACCCGGATCTCCGCCTCGGATTCGCCGCCCCGCCTCGGTCCACCCGAACCCTTCCCTCTCGCTGTCTCGCCTCTCTCCCCATCTCTCGCCGCGCTCTCACACGGTTACGCTACGGCCGACCTCACCGTCTCGCCAGTCTCTCGCGCCGCGCGTGGGCGCGGCGCCATCCAACGACCGGCGCGGCTGTTGGGTACTCGGCGTCGGCTAGTCGCCCGCAGCGGAACCGCCGCGTCCATCCGGTCCGGGCCCCTCCGGCCGTGAGGCGCGGTCAGGGCAAACGCATACGCTTCGAGAGCCTACGACACGAGTCAGTGATCGACAACGACGACGGTAGCTGGTTGGATTTCACGGCAGCGGGCGGGCGCCTGCTGGTGCTGGCTATATATTACTACCAGTTTCTTTATTAGCCTAGTATTTACACCAAAATTTGAAAAAAAAACACAAGAACTCGAAGCTTCTGAAACTGTATCATTAAGAAATTGATCAGATGTGAGTCGATATCGGCTGGTCGTGATACAACGTCGGAATCGGCTATTTTATAGATGACGTCAGTAGACAACGTCAATGTACTACGTACGGATGGCGTTAGGAGGAAATATATCGGACTCTACAAAAGGGGAAAGATTAGGATCCAAGTTATTTTTAAGTTAGGAATGTTTTCTTTTCTAAAAATTGTAATGAGTCGTATTTGAGAAAGACTCATGTTTAAGTTCCGGGTATAAATATTGGATCACGGTTATTGTAAGAAATCAATCAATCATTACAATTACTTTTCCGGCTTCACGCCAACCTTTAGGAGTAGGATACTATAGATCTCGACGAATTCTTCAACAAGCAGGGCTACATCGACCGATTGATCTCCAGCTTGTCTGTAAGTACCGTCACGACTTTATCATACTTGTAAAGCTGCATCAGCCAATTGATCTTTTACGAGTATAATATAAGTTAATTATCGATCTGTATCGTTATTTGTAAGGCTGCATCAGCTGATTGAACTCTTATGAATCATAATATAGATCAAAGTTATCGATCTTGTGTTAAACAACTTGTTGTTTAATATAATATCACCAGTTATCGAATCTGCTAAGATTAATAAGATTTTCCTTGCTGTTTTTGGCTGATTCACCAGTTATCGATCTTGTTATAATAATACTCCATTAATTATAATAAATCACCTGATTGAGATATAGATAAATCGGCATCATATCATCACAATTGGTTGTCTTCTAGTCTGGTCACGCTTTGAATCTTATGATTGATGACTTAATTCTACTATATCGGCTGTTTTATCTCTATTCCAATCGAACATACTATGCATTCAAAGACATGTTTTAATCCTGAATAAACTCACTAGTTAATGAGATCCAATCTAATGACAATACCATAGCTGCATCGATCCGGTCGAACCTCACTGGTAAGACTTTGGGTTAGAGATTATCGATTAGTGGTTTTGTTCATGATCGAGATATGTACTCTGTTTGTTTGCTATGTCTGCATCGGCTATTTTAGCCGATTCACCTGTCTTTCACACATATAACATGTTTTCTATGAACCTATCAATATATACCATGTTCGGCTGGCAGAATTTTGGCTAAAACTGGCTGAAAACACTGTTCGCTGGCTTGTTGTGAGAGAAAAACACTGTTCCGGCTGAAAAAAGAAACCGAACAAGCCAAACATGAGGTAAGCCGAACAGGGCCTATGGTTTTATAGATTTTTTGGCTTTAGTTTGTTATTATTATCGTAGCTACATGTATCCGGTCGACACCTCCTGTCGTCTGTGGAGCTAACCTATCATGCCCTGCGGCCGGTCGAAACCTATGAGTAGCTAGCTAGGACTAGGAGCCTCCTAGTGACCATTGGGCGGTAGAGCCTACCCTACCTAGGATGAGGAACTAGCCCTCCGTAATGTGCTCCTAAAGTGACGCCTAAACTTTCTCTCTTCCTTCCAGACATCACTCTCTACCTGCAGCTACCAATGCCAACTTTTAAAGATTCTGGAGCGGAGCGAGTAGAGACAGCGCTGCCTGAGGACTTAAAAATAATATTTCTTGTGTTCTATGAGAGGAGAGCATATGTTGGTGTCAGATGAAAGCCAATAAACAACATCCGTACCATCGTATGACAGAAGATAGCATCGGTGCTGACTCTTTTACACACTACAGCTATAAGAACCGATGTTTGTTTTCCTGCAGTCGGACTCACTTATTTTTCTGGCTCTACTTCACACTGCGGAGGACGACGCGCGAGGCGAGATCCAATCTGCACCCCACGAAAGAAAAGATTCTTCCCCGCCGGCCTCGCTCTCTCATCCGTCTCGCTCGGCTCGTTCCTCTCCCAGCCAGACCAAGCTAGCAGCATATAGCCCACCACATGCCGCAGGGCCCTCCCCTCATCGAGCTAATTGAGTGGGAGCTAGAAAAACCCATAGGAGGACGAGCAGCGACTCGGCAGCGAGCGAGCGCGAGCTCCGTCCTGTGTGCGGTGTGTTGTGTCTGCGCTAGAGGGTGAACGGGATGGATCACCTTCGTCAATAATTGCAGTACGAACACGCAAATCCATAGCTTATTAAGAGCTCGCTGTTAGCTACTTCCGCCTACTGCTGGTAGCGAGAGAAAGCAGCAGAAGGATCGTCGATTTGGAGAGGAAAGCCTGCGTGGGCGTGACTGGTCGAGAGATCAGACGACCACCATGGGCCGCGGGAAGGTGGTGCTGCAGCGGATCGAGAACAAGATCAGCCGGCAGGTGACCTTCGCCAAGCGCCGGAATGGCCTGCTCAAGAAGGCCTACGAGCTCTCCATCCTCTGCGACGCCGAGGTTGCGCTAGTCCTCTTCTCCCACGCCGGCCGCCTCTACCAGTTCTCATCCTCCTCCAAGTAATCAAACAACCATACTCCTTTATATTCGCTCCAATTTCCCCTCTCCTTTTTATTAGCTAGCTAATTCTTCATACGTAATTTGATCTGGATTTTGTTTGTCCGTCCTCACGCGTCCTTGCATGAACTCATGAGGTGGCGCTCTTTAATTTGCTGGTTTCCTTTTCTTTCTCTGTTCTATTGGGCAACTGGTACAGTGGTACAGTACTCATCTCTTTCAGAAGGTAGCATAGACAGTCTACAAACGGACGGGGGGCCGGGGAAAAGCGAGCAGGAGGTCGACACATGTACGCGTATACCGTGTATGTCTGTCTCTGTGTGTGTGTGTCACTCAAGGGAAAAACAAAACAAAAGGGTTTCATTTGATGTGCACCTCATCAGTGTACCTGGCCTGTAAATGTATCAGTTCATGTTTGTGCACATATGCATACGCTTAGCCTGATTCAACGCAGCTGTTTTAGCACGCAGTTCGACTAGAATGTGAATATGGTCTGTTGGTCCTTTGGTGAACTGTGCCTTCCTGCAGGCATGTTAGTGGATGGTCTTAGCATATGCATGCACTTTTGTGAGTTTTAATTCGGCAACTACTTCTTTATACAATTCTTTTCAGCATGTACTTTTCTTCAGCATATACTTCTCTGCACAGTTAAGTTTGTTATTTGGATATAACATGATGTCTAGATAATGGGCAAACATATATAAAACATTTTATGAACGTAACATGAATTGGTCTTTAGCATATGCATGCACTTTTCCCAATACATTGCTAATTGCAAACATCTTTCTTTTTATTATAATCAACAATGAATATTATTTAATTTCTTTAATGAGCTGCGAGTTGTGATACATTTTATAATTTCTAGTACTGCTCTCTTCTGTCTTCTCGCATTATATGTGATAGTACCAAGTATTATCGCATTGTTCCAACAAAAGGTACTATTATTGCAATAATGTAATGTACGTTGAGAAGATCTATGTGCAATTTCTACTCTGTAAAAAAACGAAGAGATCTACTCGAGCAGCTCCAACAGAATGGGTAAATGTAATCGTGAAGCCATTTATAGCTATTGTGCTTTAAAAAAGCATTTCAACAACTTGTCTATATTGTTTTCTATTTTTCCCAGCTGGTTATCCCACCATTCTCGCTGATCATATTTTCCTAGCGAGTCCTGCTTGCTATCTATGTTTTCTAATTTAGCTAGGCTGTTGTAAAACTCTACATTTTAGATGGGCTTTCTATTTTACATAATGGCTAAATCTCACAATTTAGCATCTAATTTTACCAAATCTTTTGGAGTTGTTCTTAAACCACATCACCTACTTACATATACAACAGCTTCATATATTTTGGGAAAATTGCTCTAAAACCATACCAGCTAGCTGTGATACTTTTAACTGCTCGAGATTAAGGGTATATTTGGATGAGAGAATTAGTTTTGTTACTTAATTGCTAGAATTGGCAGAATCTGTGCCAAACGCGATGTAGCCATTTCTATGTGAATCAGGCAGAAACGTTTAAGCTTCTTGAACTACAAGAGATAAACGGAGTTGTTTTGCCTGATTTTAGTTTTTCTGAACCCAATCTAGCTGGCGAACTACAAACGGCTCAATAAACTGATTTTGATTCACTAAAGAAATGTTTTAGTGAATCCAAAATATTTCTATAAGAATTTAGAACCTACCAAACACACCGTGCTCCGCTATGCAGGATTCCATAATTCGTCATCTTGGACAATGGCACATTCTCCAAAATATAGCTTTGGCTATGATTTTTATTATGACATATAAAAAATCAATAAATATACATTTTATTAAATTACTTTTTAAGACTAATCTTAATTATTTGTCTTAGTATTTTCAAACTAAATATTTTAAAAGTTCCTGATAGTCAAAGTTGTATAAGTTCGACCTAACCTTGTCCAAAACGGAAGAATTGTGGGAACGAAATGGAGTACTTAGTGAAGCATGAAATGTGAAAAGGAGCCTGTAAAAACTACACTAGATTTAACACTGAAGTGGCTGGTGTCAATTTGGGCTGTGTTCTTTCGGTAATCAGTAGCTCTGAGTGCTTTTAATTGATTCTCCACTTTTACTATTACACAAAAAGGGTGCAGACTAGTATGTATACACATTAACCGTAGTACACAGCATAATTCTGCTAGCTGCCACTAAAGTGGTCTTGTCTAAAATAAATGCAAAGAGTCAATTTTATATAACTTTGCCAGCCATTTTCACCTTTAAAAAAGTATATGTCATTTTAGTTTTGTCCTAAGTTAAATTTTCTCACTTTGATCAAGTTTATGGGTAAACATCCAACTACAACATCAAGTTAATTTTGTTAAATCCACCATGAAATATATGACTTTATAATGCGTTTATTTCATATTGTGTAGATGCTAACATATTTTTCTACAAACTTGTCAAAATTACTGAACATTGACTTTGGTCAAACCTAAAATGATTTACATTTTGAAACGGAGATAGTAGTATGTACGGCAATATGTTGATCCATATCATAATAAATACTTTGGTTGCATTTTATTGATTTCTGGTACCATCAACAACGACATCAACATAGCCTTTCAGTCCCAAGCAAGTTAGGGTAGGCTAGAGTTGAAACCCACCAAGAGCCCCAAGTCACGGTTCAGGCACTTCAATAGCTGCTTTCCAAGTACTCCTATTCAAACATAGATTTCTAGGTATATCCCAAGCTTTCAAATCTCTTTTTATTACCTCCCCCATGTCAATTTCGGCATTCCTTTATCTCTCATCATACTATTAGCTTGACTTAGGACTCCACAATGCACTGGTGCCTCTGGAGGTCTTCTTTGGACATGGCCAAACCACCTCAATCGATATTGGACAAGCTTTTCTTCAATTGGTGCTACCTCTAGGCGATCACGTATATCATTGTTCCGAACTCGGTCCATTCTTGTATGACCGTAAATCCATCGCAACATACACATTTATGCAACACTCAGTTGTTGAACGTGTCGAATCTTTGTAGGCCAACATTATGCTCCATACAACATAGCCGGTCTAATCGCCGTTCTATAGAACTTGCCTTTTATCTTTTGTGGTACCCTCTTGTCACAAAAAATGCCAGAAGCTTGTCACCACTTGATCCACTCTGTTTTGATTCTATGGCTAACGTCCGCGTCAATATCTCCATCCCTCTGTAGCATCGATCCTAGATACCGAAAGGTATCTGTCGGGTTCATAAAACTGGGGTCCCTAATGGACCTGCTTCTCAGTAAAAGCTCGGCCCAGCAGACAACGTTGCGAACGACGCGCAACTCCTAGGCCAGCCCAAGTGCCTAACGACAGGCCGAAAGAGCGATCCAGTCTCCGACCGGGAGGCCTGGCCAAGAAGGGACGGTGCTCGCTTCCGACTCTGACTTGCTTCTCCGACCGGAAGGCCTGGCCAAGAAGGGATGGTGCTCACTTCCGACTCCAACCCGCTTCTCCGATCGGAAGGCCTGGCCAGGGAGGGCGACCCTCGCTTCCGACTCCGACCTGCTTCTCCGACCGGGAATACACCGAACCTCTGCTTACAGCTCTTCTCCGACCGGCGCGGTCGGAGCCAACTAGGGAACGACCGACCGGGGACGCCCGCTCGGTGAAGACCCAGGAAATGGACAGAGCAAGTAAGGTGGGGCGCTCAAGTCAACCGCAATACCGAGGACCGTACCCTGCATGACTGTATGACAGTACTGTCAAGTCATGTAAGAAGGGTACTTTATAACCTTCCAGACATGTCAGAACACGAACAATGTTGTGGGCGCCGACATTTATCCTACAGTATGGTAAGCGCCGACATTTGCCATATTAGAAGAATACGATGGAACCAACCACATGCATTAGGGCGCCAATAGTTTTGTAGGTGCCGACAAACCATCTCATACCCAACTGCGTGGGCAACAAGACTAGGTAGCACACACTCCCTCTCTCTCACTTGTAAGGTCGTTCCCTTCATCTATAAAAAGGGATGCGCCCTCTTCCAAAAGAGGAGGATCGATTCGACGAACAACAGACAACACACGGATCATTACGACTCACTCTCTGCTAGCTTTAGACATTATAAAGTTACACAGAGCATACGTTCCAATACTTAGTGCACGTAGGAGTTTTCGTCACTCTCGGCCATTCGGTCCAGAGTCCGATCGGACCTCTGATACTCCCCATCTTACTCCCTCTCGTTTGTAACCCCACAGCAAACTTCGAGCACCTGGGCTCAAGAATAAAGTCACCGATCGACTCAAACTGGATGTAGGGCACGTTGCCTAAACCAGTATAAACCCTGTGTCATCGAGTGCTAGGCCACATCCGATCACAACGTACGACAAAACGACAAATATTTACTAGTTGATCACTTTTCGCACCAACAGTTGGCGCCGTCCATGGGGAGAACGCCGTACGTTCACGCTTTTGGTCATCGGATGGCCCACCTTTCCGCCATCTTCGGCATGGCGGGCTCAAGCGATACAACTCGCTTCGGCTCGCTAGAGTTTCCCATGCTCCCACCTGTTGAGATGTGGGTTCCTCCTGTCTTTGAGCCATCCTAGGTCTTCCTCTTCGGAAGCTTGGACTTCATCACCGACCAGCTCGGCGTGCTTCGCCTTCGCGAGAAGGCACTTGTCCCGGCGCCCGTTGAAGGAGGAGCGCCCTCCGTCGGCTCTGGGACACCCGGCGACTTCAACGACGAGGCGCCTACGCTTCGCTCTGAGCCTACGCTGGGCTCAAACCCCGCTGTGAGTAACGTACATACTGTTATTTACTCGAGATCTACTATCTTCAGCTGACTCTCTAGAGGGACCCCGTTGTCCCCGCTGCGACCGCCATGCAACCGGTTCCCCTATGGCCCCACGTCCCCCATGGACGCGTACGCACGGGGGCTCCAAAAGATGCTGACACCGCCCTCTCTCACTTCCGAATTCGTGGGGATGGCGGGCTATGCTCCCGCCTCTTTCCATGACCTCATGGATGACGAGGTTGAGAGCGGCG